AGCTGGGATTACAGGCACGCGCCACCATGCCCAGCTAATTTTTTGTATTTTTAGTAGAGACGGGGTTTCACCATGTTGACCAGGATGGTCTCGATCTCTTGACCTCGTGATCCACCCGCCTCGGCCTCCCAAAGTGCTGGGATTACAGGCTTATATATATATGTCTTCTTTAAGGCTAATGTCCAGTTTCCAAATATTTAGAATGTATGATTCTGCACTCTGCTCAGCACTGTATTACAGTGCTCAAGCAGCTAAAAACACTCTTCTATAGGAGGAATTATGTTTAGAGTCCAAAACAAGAAGTCTTAAGTGTGTGCCAATCTTAGCTCTGCCATAGACTTAAATCCCAATCCCTATACTCAAATATCCACAGAAAAGGACCAACATTCATATTTCTCAAAGGAATGTGGCTATGAGAGTGTAGTGAACTAACAAAGAGCCTAAGGAATTTATTGCAAAAAAAAAGGGAGGGGCTAAGGAAAAACATTCGGTGTAGATACAGGGTACTCTTTGGGATTCTTCTGCATTTTGAAGTAACAATTCCCAAGAGAAGAGACAGAGGTTGGGATGCCAAGACAAAGTCTTGACTTGTTTGAAACAAAAGCAAGAACAAAATGAACTCTTCAAATCAAGGCATAGATGAAAGAACCATCCCAGGTGGCCAGGACTACAGAATTGAGAAATCTTGTTTCTAAGGAGTATCTCAGAGAAAAAGGATTTTAGGGAGACTGGGAGCTCAAGGCAGTAGGGGAGGAAGAAGAGTGGTCTTTTGTTTCTTACTTAGCAAGCTGTGGTGTGTAGAATTCAAGCAGGACTGAGACTGGACTCAGTCTATGAGATATTAAGCTCAGAATATGAGGTAGACCTCTAAGATCACCTGGTTTCTCTCTTTTCAATCAACCTTTACTTTATTGCACCCATCATTCCTGGGATGCCATCTCAACACCAGCTAGCAGTGGCAAATTACAAACAAAACAATTCTCTCCCTCCCAATTTAACAGATTAGGAAATGAGGGCCCAGAAGGGAGAAGTTCTTTCTTAGGTCCAAAAGGAAGAAGAAACTTCCTAAAGCCACATGATTAATGAGTTCTTCCTTGGGGATCCCAGGATCTCTTATCACTGTTCTCAAGGACTCAAGAAAGAGTGTAAACAGTGAGGTTTATCTATATTTATTAAGTGCCTAAGTTAGAAGTATTGTGGTAGGCACTTTCACATACACCATGTTTACACAGAGATAAAAAATAATTGCAACTTTGAGTCCTGACTTTTTATTATGCAGGGTTTCTCTAAGAGAAGTGCAGGCTTTGGAATTAGAAAGACCAAGCTTCTACCACTTGGGAAATGTATTTTACTTCTCTGAACTTGTATTTCTCCTGCATTTGGAAAGGTATATAACACCACGTACTTCACAAGGTTGTTTTGAGGGTTAAAAGATTATCAAGCACAGGGAAGGGTTCACAGAAGATACACAGTTACTGGTAACTATTGTTACCACTCCCGAAGGGGACAACTAAGGTAAACAGCAACAATGTGGGAACGGAAGTTGAAACCGCCATTCACTAGCCGTGCAACATTGAGTCTGTCGGTCAGGCAGTGGGAGGGGGTTATAAAGACGCCGACTTGTAAACAAATACTGGCATTACAAGGTGAAGAGCGCTGCAACTGAGTTCGGTTCCCTGGACTTGGGGGCGGGAAGTGGTAACCTCAGCTTCCCTATCTGTATACTGGGAATATCAAATGAAATGACAACAGAGAGCCTTTCTTTATAAAGCCCACAGCGCACAACACTGCTGTTGTGAACGAGGAGTAATGGGACAGAGGAGAGGCGTCCACCGCCTCCGGGGACTGGATCCGGGCTGCAATAGCGCGGGCCCGCTCGCTCCCACAGGGGGCGGTGGTGCTGGGGACCTTCCCTCAGGTGCCGACCCCCAGCTGCGCCGCCGGTAACCGACAGGCCAAGCCAGCCGCCTCCGCCCCCGCTCGCCGCGCCACGGCGGAAGTGGCAGCCTGAGCGGTTGGCGGGTGTCGGAAGGAGAGGGCGGGGGGAGACCGTGCGCAGCGGCCTATGGCCGTGGAGTGGCGGGACCGCCGGGGGTCTCACCTGAAGCAGGGAGGGTCCTCCAACACCAGCACGCGGCAAGAGCAAGATGGCTACCTCAGCGAAGACAGAGAAAGACGAAGGCGGCGGCGGCGGCGGCTGGAGCGGGTCCACGTGACAAAGTCGGTCCCGCCTCTCCCTCTCCGGGGCAGCCTATCCCGGGAGCGCACATCTGAACTGCAAAGCCCGGCCTGCTCTGCGAATCCCTCCACTGCTAGTGGCGGCAGGTGCAAGTGCCCGCGCGGCATCCTGGGGCTTGCAGTCTCCCGAGCGTTCCATTGTGTCCCTGCCTACAATTTTAGGGAACCTAACAGAAAGGCGGTCGGTATGTTTCTCTTTGGGTGTATACTTTAGTTAAGTTGTTTTTTGGCTACGCATTAAGTACGCACTTTAGGACTCAACTAGTACCAGGAAGAAAGACCGGACATTTTCACCTGTTATACAGCGGAGGGGAAAAATTGGGAAGAAATCCTCAAGCTACAAGAAAAATAACCAGAAGCTTTACACTTTAAATGCCTGCAGTGACTTCTGTCCTGGTGTGCTAAGTCCACCCAACCCCCAAGTTTGGTTTTCTCGGAGCTTTTATCAGTTGGTTGCATCATCCCTGAGTAGAAGATTTGCGGTTGCAAGGAAAAATAAGGTACAGAGCTTCTCCAGCGGGAAAGGGCATGCCTGCGCGGCACGAGCCCACGCACCGCCGGAGAGGGTTGCAAGGTCTCCTCGGAGACCTGGGCAGGACTCTAACAATGAAATCCGGTCGTCCAGTCTTTATTTGTGGAGAGGGAAGGAGAATCCGAGGCCATTGGGCAACCCGCCCACTGTTGGGAGAGACTGACCTCACCAATCAATAATTTGCGTTTGACTAGGGAGTGCAGCGGTTCTTGGGGGGAGGGGCTGGACTGGGTGGCGGACGCAAGCAGCAACCGTTCTCCTCCTGAACCTCTCACCCGCATTCTTGGCCCACATTTTCCCGCTCCGTCCCAGGACTTGGACACCCAGAATCTAGGAAAAGTAACTCGCGCTTGAGAACAGCTCTTGCACCCATCTACGTGATCTGCACCTTTAAACTCACTCTGTGCCGAACCGGACCCCGGAGGCACCACCCACATCCGTCTAACATCACTTCCTTCAGAGTTTGAAAAAAAAAAAATCTGGGAAGGCGAGGGGTTGTGCTGAGCCGCTCTCGGCTAGCGGTGTGGACCTTCTGCTGGGACTGCGGCCCTGCGTCCGCTCAGCCCCGTGGCTCCGCGCACCTACTGCCATGGAGACGCGGCCTCGTCTCGGGGCCACCTGTTTGCTGGGCTTCAGTCTCCTGCTCCTCGTCATCTCTTCTGATGGACATAATGGGCTTGGAAAGGGTCAGACCGCGTTCTTATCTTACTCTTTACTGATCCTGGGCCACAGCCCAGTATAACCTCTTCTTGCCCTAACACGTTCCCCTCACGTTCTATCTCTCAGGCCACGCCAAATTTCTTTTTATCTTCCCCAGCCACTCCTGGAGTTTGACGATTTCTTGGCTACCCCAAGAAAGAGTAGCGGGCCTGGGGAATGGAGAAGTTGTACTTGAGGCCTCGCTGAATTTTTGGGTTGGGGGAAGGAATGGCCCGTAAATTAAGAAAAGCATGTTTAAGAGCCCGGCATAGTGCCTAGCGCTTGGGAGGTCCTGAGGAACGGTCACTTCTCACCTGGGAGAAATAGAGCCGTTGGGGACCTGCGTATGCAGAGAACCCTGTCCTGGGTCTGAAGATTCTGCTCCTTACCTCTTCCGTGAAGACCTAGGTTACTGCCACTTCCTTGCCTTTGGGAGATAGCACCTGCATCCCATGTAGCCATATCTAGCGCATAAGAAGGGCGAGGTGAAGGGTAGAAGGTGCTCTTTTAAGAGTTCCCAACAATTGTCCTTGCTGTGTTTCAGCGAGTGTGTCTTAAGACATTGAGTTTTCAGTGAGTGAGCGATCAGTGGTTAGGTGTGGCTCCTACTCCATTCATTACCTACATCTCCATTCTATGTTTTAACACCTTTCACCTCATCAGCCCTTACTTAGTTGAAAGTTGGATTGACAGTCTGTGAACTCAGGGTTTATACTTTTCTAAATAGATGAATCGTAGCATGGATCCCAACCCCTCTTCCATTTTTTTTTTCACTGACCTTATTGTATGGAATGATTCTGCTGCAGTCCTGCTGTTTTTGTTTTCTCTTATTATTTCACATCTATTGGTGGGTAGTAAGATTGGGTGGGCATTCATTTTTCCTAAATGCAGTCATTCCTTCATTCCAAAAATAATTTTGATCACCTTCTGTATTTTCTGTATTTCAGGCACTGTTCTAGGCATTAGGGATATAGTTGTAAACAGGACAGAGAAGGTTCCTACTCTCGTGGAGCTTATTATATTCAAGTCATAGAGACAGAGTAGACTCATGAACAAATTAATAAACAAGACAGTTCCAGCTAGGAATAAGTGCTGGGAAAACAACAAGACTGTGATGGAAAAGGAAGTAGGAAGGCTGGGGAGGTTGGGGGAGCTGGTGCATCACTTGAGTTATGAAGATCAGGGAAAGCTTTTTGGAGAAGGTGATACGTGGGTTTCCATCTCAGTGATGAAACTGCATGACAAATCCTGTTAGGCCAGAATGTTTTAAATACTGACAATCCCATTTTAAAACAGACTACTGTATATTTAAAGTAAAATTGTAAGTACTGAGGGTAACAGAAGAGTATAGTGTTAGGAACATGGGTTTATATCTGAGCTTTTTTCTTAGGCTTTGTTTGTTTGTTTTTGTCTTGAGATGGAGTCTTGCTCTGCTGCCCAGGCTGGAGTGCAGTGGTGCGATCTCGGCTCACTGCAACCGTCTCTGGGGTTCAAGTGATTCTCCTGCCTCAGCTTCCCGAGTAGCAGGGACTACAGGGGTGCAGCACTACATCCATCTAATTTTTTTTTTTTTGTATTTTTAGTTGAAATGGAATTTCACCATGTTGACCAGGCTGGTCTCGAACTCTTGACCTCAGGTGATCCTCCCTCCTTGGCCTCCCAAAGTGTTAGGATTATAGGCATGAGCCACTGTGCATGGCCTAGATCTGAGTTTTAATTTGTTCTGCCACTCACCAGCTAAGTAGGCTTGGGCAAGTTTCTTAACTCTCAAAGCCTCAGTTCCTCATCTGCAAAGGGGCATCATAACTACCTCAGACACTCAACAAATAATTTACTCTGTTCCAGTTACTGTGTTAGGTGTAGGTAATACCTTGAAGTCAGGTAATTTGTATCTTTATTCCTTGTTAGATATTAAGCTTTGTGTGGTTGTTCTAGTTACCATTGTTGTGTAATAAATCACCCCAAAATTTAGTGGGCATGAAGAAATCGTTTTATTATGCTCACAATTCTGTGAGTAAGGAATTCAAACAAGGTACATTGGGGAAGGCTTGTCCCTAGTCTATGATGTCTGGGGCCTCAGCTAAGCTGGTAACCTCTCCATGTGATCTTTCTGCATGAGCTGCTATGGCTTTCCTCACAGTAGCCTTATGGAAGGCTGGATTCCAAGAGTGAGTGCCGTAAGAGAACAACGTGGAAATGCATGGCATTTTTGTCATCTAGCCTTACAAAGCACATAGCATCACTTCCACTGTACTCTGTAGGGACAGATTTAAGGGAATGGGACATGGAGTTTGCAGCAAGCTGAAATTGTGCCACTGCACTCCAGCCTGAGCAACAGAGTGAGACTCTGTCTCAAAAAAAAAAAAGGAAATTAGGGGGCCAGGATTTTAATCCTTGTCAGGCCATTTAGTTCTGGTCCTACCTGGTAACCAATTAATCATTGAGAGAGTTGGACTAGAAGTAGTGCTTCCTAAGATCCCTTCCAGCTGTAACATTCTATAGTGTTCCAAAATAATTACATTGTTCTCCATGGACTGAAAATTTAGACTACGTCTCCTACAGGAAGTAGTGACCAATATTACTGTACATTTACTATCTTCCAGATGCTGTTTTATGTGCACTTTTCATGTATTTACTAAGCCTATAATAACCCTATGAGATGGATAATGTTTTTATCATTATCTCCACTTCACAGATGAAAAAATCTCAAATGAGGCACAGGAGTCTGGTGGACTAGCTGGAATACAAATCCCAGCGCCACTGCCCTTAACCAGCACACCACTCCATTCTCTCAGTGCAGAAACTGTTCTGAAGTTTAAAGGAGAAACTAGATAAACTAGAAAGCTATCACTGGGAGTGGTTCTTGTGCTCTTCTGCCTGAAACAAAAATGAATGACTTTGTCAAGTCTCTGGAATAAAAATTTGGCACTTACACATATGAAGTGTGTTTACCTTCCACACGGTGTTTTACTCACATTCACAGCAGCCTATGGGGTACATATTTTTGTTAGCCATATTTGCATTTATTAAAACAGTCAGTGGCTGAACAAGAATTCTAATGCAGAGCTGTTTGACTGAGACATTTAGCCACTATGTTCTATGTCTCAGGTACAGTGTTCCCTTTTTGAGAGGCTTGGCTGCCAGCTCTGATGCTTGATCTTTTGTTATTTAGGTTTCATGAGCTAGGAGGGGGTGGATAATACTTTTCAGATGTCCTTAGCTTACATTCATTTAAAACAATTTTTGGATGAAGGGATTGGAAATTCTGATTAAATACTGTGTTTAGAAATGGTTGCTTTTCTTTCTTTCTTTTTTTTTTTTTTAATTAATGTTATAGGGTAAGAGCTGCTTACCCTGGGAGACTTTACATAACAGGTAACTGGCATAAATTAAGTGGCTGTACAGGTGACACTTTAGGAAATTGGACTGCCTTCAGATGTTCCATGTTGGCACGGGTGTGAGTGTGAGTAGTGCTGGGGAGTGGACAATTTTAGTAACAAGGTAAACATTGTACCTTTTAAACTTATTTTTGAGGGGTAAACAAAAAAAATCCCAATTTTTCTAGATCTGAATTTGGTGTTCTCATTCTGCTTTGGTGAAGCTGCATTCATTTGTTCATTTAATCTGTGCTAGAGAGGCAGTAAAATGTAGTGAATGGTTGTTAACTACAGACCCTGGAACTCAACCACCTAGATTCTAATCCCAGCTCTGCCGCTTACTGGCAATGTAACCTTGGGCAAGCTGTTTCAGTTCAGCTTCCTTATTTATAAAGGGGTAGTTAGAGTTTCTACCTCATAAAGTTATTGTGCGGATTAAATAAGTTAATATATATAAAAGCATTTAAGTGCCTGGCACATGATAAATTACATATGTGTTAGTCATTATT